TAAAGCGTAAACGCGTACGTGAGAAAAATGTAAAATGTAAAACTGATCAGCTTTCCCTTTTTTTTAAAAAAAAAAAAAAAAAACTTAACCTCCATTTAACCCTTTAGTAAAGATGTGAACCATATGGTTATTAAAAATAATTTCCCTTCCCTTATTATAAATAATTAAATAATATAACCTTTAATTATAAAACCTCACAATAAAAAATAATTACCGATAGTTACTAGATTCAAAATATTTAATTATCACAAATATAGTAAATAATAATAAAATAAATATCAAACGGCTCTTATTAATAAAAATAAAGTATCAAAATTATTAATAAAATACCAATATTATGTTTTATAAAAACAGGGTGTTACAAGCCCAAGCGTCACATATTTCGACTATGACTTGACCCACTTAAACCTTCGCCACATGACAATTGATGCAACCCAACAAACAAAGTATAAACCTTTTAAGGTTGCTCTTGACTTTGATGCTTGAAAATTTGTGGTTGCTTTTATAATATGAATTTTTTATTCATCTTGAGAAAATTTATGCAAAAATATCAACCCTAAAGTGTTGTCCATGTCCTCGAATTGGAAAAAACTTAGTTGCCCTTATATGGTTAGAAATTTGATTGACATATGATGAACATGAGAGTATAAACCTTTTAAGGTTATCCTTAATGTTGAAAACACGTGGTTAGTTTTATGATATGATATTTTTATTCATCATGAGAAAATGTAGGGTATAAAACCCTAAAATATCGTCTCTATCTCTGAATTTAGAAAAACTTAGTTGCCTTTATTTGATTTGTATTTTGATTGACATAAGATGAACTTAAGAGCATAAACTTTTTAAGTTTGTCTCTGACTTTGATGTCTGAAAAACGTGGTTGCTTTTATGATATGAATTTGTTTTTCAATGTGAGAAAATGTAGGGTATATGAAGCCTAATATGTTGCCCCTAACTTTGAATTCAGAAACACTTGGTTGCCTTTATTTGATTAGTATATTGATCGACATATAATGAACAAAGGAGTATAAATCTTTTAAGGTTGTCCCTAATTCTAATGTCTAAAATCTTGGTTGCTTTTATGATATGAATTTGTTATTCATTATGAGAAAATGTAAGGTATAGAAACCCTAAAATGTTATCCCTGTCTCTGAATTTGAAAAAAAAAAAATTGGCCTTATTTGATGAGTATTTTGATCAACATAGGTTGAACATGAGATAGTTAGAGCAATCCCACCAACAATTCAAACTCCTTAAAAATTGAAGTCGCCTGCATAAAACAAATAAAAAAAATAAGACACAAAGGAAAAAAAGGGAGTGAGAACATATCTCACTTTGACTACCGGTATAAAAAATGGCTAGGTAGCTACAAACATACAAAATACATAGCATGATCATACATATAATCAACAACAATAAGATATCCATAATAATGTAGCAGTAAAACAATAAACATCCATTCACATTCTATCACACCACATGTCATCATATATCCATAACATAGTTCAATATACAAGGGTATGTTATGCTCATGTAAGGACAAGATTCTTTTAACTACATGCATGTGACATCAATAAAACACATTTATCCCCACCCGAAGGCTAAGTAGCCTAGGAGTTCATACTAGGTTAAGCCATTATAACACTACACACTAGGAGAAAATATACTAATGACGCGTCCGGATAACTATGTTGGCTAAGTTTCACCCCATGCACTCAAAATGGCGAGATTAGGGTTCCCAAACCTAGCTATCCCAAAGGTCATGGAATCCCCAAGCAATATATTTTCCTAGCAATATATTTCACATTGTACCCATCACACAAAAACACACTTGTGCAAAATGATGAATGGCATACAAACTCTCATGCATGGTCATAAAAATCATATTTACTTAGTCTCTCACTAAGTTATGCGTAGGTTAATCTCATAATCTCTTCACACATTCTACACAATAGTTATTAATATTCACATCACATATTATTCACTTATTTCATATTATATAGATAACTCACTATCTCATTCAACTAATTCATATAATTTATCAACCAATGCTAATTTAATTAAATACACAGTTCTACATATATCAGTCTCAAGTATATGACAATGCCTAGCATGGGGTGCCTTGCACTCGGCGTGATTAAGGTCGTGAGCCTTTAAAAGGACCAGGTTCAGCGTGACTCTTCTCGCACTTAGCAAACTCACAATAGGGAACCCCTTAAAGCTCCTATGTTAGACATGATCAAGCTTATGTCCAACATCAATGATGTCACAAACATTTCGAGTTTCTATGCTCGATGAGCCCAAGATGGTGTCTGACACAATATTAGTAACTTTTTTGTTCTCTAGAATTTGTGATTTACTCACATAGAAAGTCTCACCATTTACATGAATTTATGTTAAAAAGAGGGTTTCTATGTTCTAACTAATTCTTTCTTAATATAAGTAATTACTACATGCAATTGTTTCTCTAATAATTGATCACACACATCCTTAGGGTTCTCCTAGAAACCCACATGCACTCATAAAGCATATTTATAGCATAATGACGGGTTTAAAAATTCAAAGAGACATCATATACACATTACAATAAAAAATATAATTTGGGTTTAACCCTTCATACATACATACATACATATATACATTTAGAACCTACGAGATTGGGGTCAATTTCATTACCCAACAAATAACTCACACCTTGAAGGTAAGTTCTCACTTTCCCCCTTACCTTGATGGACACTAAAATCTCAGTTCGGATCTTCAAGCTTTTCTCCAATAACCTCTGGTTCTCCCCTTTACCTTACTAACGCATCTAAATAAAAATCCTAACCCTTGCATAAACCCTAGCATAAACCATTTACAAAAGCCCAATTAATTATTTTTTACTATTTTGAAAATAATCCAATAAATAATAATAATAATTATTTTAAAATATCACTCAAAATATAATATTATCCCAATTAATTAATTAAAATTTTATATTAATTTATTTTGAAAAATGGAATGTTACATATCTAATTCAGTTTTTATTTATCATAATTATTTATTAATTAAATATTAATATTTTAAAATAAATTATATTTTAAAATATTTATGTATATTTATTTTGAATATAATTTATATATTCAAATATAGTATTTTTATATAATTTATTATAAATTTTAATTATATTATATATAATAAATACTAGTTGTTTATTAATTTTAAACAAAATCAACATTAGTTAAATAATTTTAAAAAATGATTAACTCCAGCTTTAATGTTATATATAATATATTATTCAAAATTTAATTATAAAAGTTAAGTGGTTTAGTGATTTAAATGTTGATTTTCACATTAAAGGTAAGAGTTCTAGTATTCATAAGATTATTTTATATCATTTTCTATAAATCTTATTTTTTCTTACCTTGTCAATGTCATTGGTGCATCATCACCAAAGTACCACCTCATTCATGTGAGTCACCATGTCACCACCAAAAGTGATATATCATTAATCTGTCAACATTAATCTCATATAACACTTTAATTGACAAAGGAAAATAAAAATTGTGTGATTTTTAAAAACGTATATCTACACAAAAATTGAAAAATCAAATACGAAGTAGAGAATATAAGAGGAAAAAAATATATATATATATATATATATATAATATATATATATATATATATATATATTTATATATTATTCTTTTAGCTTTTTTTCCTATGCGACCATCTATTGTAGATCCTATTTTTCAGTGTTTCAAATTGTTGGTTCTTTTATTGTTGTTGATTCTTCTGCAAATATTAATGGTTGATGATGAAAATGAAAAAGAGATTATAGGTAAGACAATGTTTTTCCTCCCATTATTTATTCTGTTCATTGTTTGTTCTCTTATTACCTACTTTCATTCTCTTTTTTATTCTTTTATTCGACCAAACTTTGCGTACCATTGTCTAACTATTTCTAAAATATTCCCTCTATTTCAAATTTTTAAAATGTATTTTCAACCGAAAATAAAAAACTAATCGTTAAAAGTATGGAAATTTATTTAAAATGTTAACTTCTTTCGACATGTCTCCTTTTATATATATATATATATATATATATATGTGCTTAAATATATTTTTAGTCGGTAAATTTATTTTTGATTCCTCAAATTTAAAATTATTGTTTTTAGTTTCTATAATTTCAAAAAATGTATTTTAGTCTTTATATTCAAATTTTGTTAAAAAATTTATCAAATATTATTACATAAAATTTATTTATTGATATCTTTATTAGTGATAATATCACATTAAATCTGATTGATATTGTATAACCGTCTTCATTTGTCACTTTCAAATATATTATTAATGATTTGAAGGACTAAAATAAAATTTTTAAAAATTAAAGAGACCAAAAATAATAAAGGGACAAAAATAAATGTACTTTAAATTTGAGAAACTAAAAATATATTTAATATAT